CACACACACACGCACACGCGCACACGCACACACGCACACACGCACACACACACACACACACACACACACACACACACGCACACGCGCACACGCACACACGCACACACGCACACACACACACACACACACACACACACACACACGCACACGCGCACACGCACACACGCACACACGCACACACACACACACACACACACACACACACACACGCACACGCGCACACGCACACACGCACACACGCACACACACACACACACACACACACACACACACACGCACATGCAGCTGTTGTTTCCTTCTCATCTGCTCAGGAGAAAGAAAAGGAACAGTTACATTTACACTGGTGTGAAAATCAATGACTGTCCAGAACGCTTCAGATCACAGTATGATAATAAACACAAGTTATAATACACACCTAAAGTAATAATACCTTTAAAATGAAAATCATGTTAATGATTCATTTTTTTCATAATGAATCACAAAATATTAAAACAGATTGTCACATCAGCATCATCTGCATGACAGTGACAGATTATTGAAAGCTAAAATATAATCAGTCTCTGAGAAAGAAATTTCTCAACAAAGTTCAGGTACTCAGGACAATGATTCCCACCAGGGGTATGTGTACCCCTTGGGGTATGTAAGCATAGTCCAGAGGGTATGTAGAAAGATTTCCCAGGTGTGTTAAAAAATAAAATAGGACAGATATGTAGGGCCCTGTGATTTCCACAATGCAGAAATTGCAGACGGAATCACAGAATTAACACAAAATGGAATCCGGTAAAAAACATGGAATCTCACAGAATTTGCTCATTTGGGTGAGTTTCAGACATATTTTGGAAAATAAAAAGTATTTTGGATGCTGCTGTTTTCTGCACCCGCCATTACATGTTTTATATTTGTAATTACTTATTCACTTTCAAGGAAACATTTTTATCTTTATGGTTTTTTTTTTTGGAGTTGAAAAAATAAAACACCTGATAATTAAACCAGGCTAAATAAAGACATTTTCATTTAATATTCAGTTTTACATTGTAGTTTTGGAGAATCATCATTATGTTTGACTGAAGGGATACTAGTGGTATGACAAAATGGCTCAGGGGGTACACAAGTCTAAGAAGGTTGGGGACCATTAATCTAAAGTTCTGAAACATTCCAACACTTTCAGGACCTTGGGCAGTTCCTTCAGCCCATCAGACTGTCTAAGGACCTGAAACATTCCAGCACATTCAGGACCTTGGACAGTTCCTTCAGCCCTTCACACTGTTCATGGACCTGAAATATTCCAGCACTTTCAGGACCTTGGGCAGTTCCTTCAGCCCTTCACACTGTCAAAGGACCTGAAACATTCCAGCACTTTCAGGACCTTGGACAGTTCCTTCAACCCTTCACACTGTTCAAGGACTTGAAACAATCCAGCACTTTCAGGACCTTGGAAAGTTCCTTCAGTCCTTCACACTGTCTAAAGTTCTGAAACATTCCAACACTTTCAGGACCTTGGACAGTTCCTTCAGTCCTGTCACAATGTCTTAGCAGACATGGTTGTCAAGTGTTCCTGTCATGGGTCACAGCTGTTCATGCTACAGTTAGATATTGAGCTCAAGTTTGATGTGGTTGTAGCTGAGAACCAAAATGTACCCAAGACAAAACAAATCTTTGGCAGTAACTTTTCGTGTCGACACAAGTTTATTTTAAAAATTGGAATACAGGTTTCTCAACATCAGATGAAATTAAACTGATCCCACTGATGATGACCAGTAATCATTTGATCAGCAGCTACTAGCATCTAGTTTTACTTTTAAAACCTGTGAAAGCTGTCAAGATCTGTGTTTGTTGTTAGCACTACACATTCTCCTCTCTGAGGTCCTCCATCCACATCACAGAGAGCAGAATGTAGAAATGACTCTGCCACCTGCAAGTGAAAATGTAGATTGAGGACCTCAGTTTAGCTCTTTAGCATTCACGCTAGCGCCGAGCTACATACGTATGTAAGGAAATATAGTGCAGGCACTAAAGCTAACAGCCTAAGCTGGGGTTCTTCCATGAAGCAGCTCTGTTGTCCTCCATCCATATTTTCAGTTCCAGGCTGAGTCATTTCTACCTTCTCCTCTCTGTCAACGCTCTCTGGTTTCATTTAAAAGAGTCGATCATCAGATATTGTCCAAGATTGACCCTTCAGGGTGAATATAGCTCGCTGCCTGCACTGATGACCTAGTTGACATCATCATTTACCCAGTATTGCATGTAAATTAAATGTCTCTTTCCATGTTACAATAAAGTCTTAATAATTTACAAAACTTAACATCCTTTTAATAGACTATATTTGGCAGTTAAAATAAATGTTAATCAAATAAAGTCTAACGTTACAAGTAATCATGGATCAATTTAACATATTATGTATCAGTGTTGTCTCAATGACCCATGAGTCAGTTCTAAAGCATTAGGTTTGGGGATGAGTTGCAGTAACTGTACTTTAATTTCTTAGGATTTACTCCAGATCTTTCACCAAGAACTTAAAAGGGCCAAAGAACAGGTGAGAACAGAGGCCATATCATTTTACAGTTATGGCTGCTCAGGTCAGTATTACTGTGGAGAACAGGAACAACAACAAAGAGAGTGACCGATTTATATAAAAAAGATGTAGACCTGAGAACATAGAGCTGACTGAATTTGTTGGAAATAATGACTTGAACCAGGAGCAACGGGTCTGAGCCAGGTCTGAGATCTGGCTTTCTGGGAACTGTCAGGAAATAGCCAGTAAATATTCATCTACAAGTCGTTAACCCAATTTAAGATTTAGAAAATGCTTCGATGGCTTTAACTCAACAAAATATCTTCTAAAATGTTGAGTGGTTTGTGGAGCCTCACCTGCAACACTTACCCTGAGCGCCAAACTAGAACAAGCTTTTTTTAATGAAAACATCAACATTGGTTGTTGTTTGTCTTTTAGCAAAATATCTCATTACCATATTGAAAATCGTCTTGGGATGTATGTTTAAAGAATCTAAAGCTCTGGATCAAGTTAGTCCTTCACAACACTGAGCTTTTCTCAACATCCTTTCAGTCTAAAACTGTGGCGGGAAAAGAAGTGATGAACCTTTAATAAATTAAAAGTGATTTTTGTTGAGAAACTGTGCTTCAGGTTTGAGGGTCTCCTGTTAGAGGGGGGTGGGGGGTGGGGGGGGGGAGGGTGGGGGGCGCAGGTCGTTCATCAAGCAGACAAGACCGGAGCCAAAACGGAAGAAAATACAATCCTTCTCCAGCAGCTCCTGTTTAAGAGGAGATTTGGTGAAACTTCGGATCCTCGACTGAAACGAATGATTTTTCTTTCTTTCTTTTCATCCTGCCCCTCATCCCGTCCCTCCCCTCACCGCGCGTGTTGGAGGCGCGCGCGGTATAAAGCGCACAGCCCCGCCGCTCGCGTCAGATCGGGAGTGCGCGTTCAGGCAGGCAGACAATCCGGACCCTGCGCACAGCTATGACCCCGCTGCTCCCCACCCCGCCTGGATTACCTCTGAACTAACTTCTACATGTGGCCCCCAGCTCCGTCCTAACGCCGCGCCCCTCCCCGACCCCCCCTCCCCTCATCCAGCCTCCCGCCGGCTCTCCTCCGAGCTCCCAACTCCCGCTCTCCAAGTCTCCAAGTCTCCGCTGTGAGTCCTGCGGCCATGGGGCGCCCCGTTTCCCGCCTGCCCGGGCAGCTGAGGGCCACGAGCGCGCTGTGAGGTGGATTTATGCTCGTCGGAGTCGCAGCTTTGATCAGCCGAGGGACATTAGAGGAAGTTTGAGCTCCGGGAGGATGCAGGTGACGTCTTGGTGCGCCGTGTTCCTCCTGATGCCCGCCCTCTGCCTGGTGAGTTTCTGCTCCGGTCTCAGACGGTTCTGATGGACAGACATCAGTTTTTTGTCTTTTTCACAGGTTAAAACATTAAACGCCCATCAGCAGGCGGCACCTGTTCAAATATTCTGCTTCTTTTATGTCTCCTTAAAATGTTAACGAAGCTGAAAAACTTCATCTGTAAACTTTTGATTCAATCTTACAACGTGCGTCTTTTCTGTGCGTCAGTTTCAGAGTTTTAATCCAATCCACGCCGCAGCAGAACGATGCGCTGCGATTATTTTAGATTTAAAACAACAAATCCTGGTTGAGTTTAAAACAATTTAATTAAACAACTGGTTATCAAACTCAGTGAGTCAGAATCGTCTCCAGGGGGCGCAATAATAAAACAAAAACTCCCCTTCTGCTTTCACTGGAGACCACCACGATTCAAACAAGTCTTTTATTTCTGCGCTTCCGCTGATAAACGTCAGGTCATTATTATAAGTAAAATCACTACTTTAAGAGAAAAAAGTAAAGTAAACAGTAATTGGTTGTGGGGATTTAAATGTTTAATTAGAAAAACGCGCCGTTTTCAGATCAAATCTGCTGTTTTTCTCAATTTAGGAAACAAAAATGTTTTTCTTTTACTTTTAGTTATTTTGATTAAATTACTATTAATAATTTTAATGTACTTTACCGCCCATAATGTATGTTTTATGTGCTTAGAATTAATTGCAAACATTTCAAGTCATTAAAAGTGTGAAAGTTGTGTGTAAAGTGGATGTTTGTTTAAACAAACAAACAAACAAACAAACAAACAAACAAACAAACAAACAAACAAAAACAAGAAGAAAAAATTTAGAGATTCGATTTTTAAATTGCAAAATGAAAAAACAAAAGACTAAAGTTAAAAAACACGCTGACTCACGCTCCTGACGTTTATTTCTGCAGGTTTTTTCTCACATTTTTTATTTTCTTTTTTCTGTCAGTTTGAAAGTTGAAACTCATCAGGTGAAGCAGTTGGATGGACCCACCTGAGACTTCCAGCTCACACCTGTTAGACTCAGTTTGACCCAGAAGCTCTGAGTGTTTCTGACAAGCGTGTGGATTCTAGGAGGAATTATATTATTAATTTATTTTATATTTGTTCATAACATTCATCCATTTGGATGTTTCTTTAGCTGCAAAAGTCTAAATATTAACAATAGTAATAATAATATAACAGAAACATATTGAGTTTTATTCTTTAATCAACTTGTTTAAGTAAACACGGACCAGTTAAATAATCTTTATTGGTTAAATATGGGACAGATTCTCAAGTTTTTGATCTTTTTTATTTTCCACTCAGAGTTTTGTCCACAGTGGGTTTAGTTTGTGAAAGGGTTTCTGCGGTACAAGTTGCGCGCGGAGCTGTCCGAGGTGCTGAAAAAGCGTCAAACAGAAACTCAACACGTCCTGCAGTCTGTCCGAACCTTGTAGATAGTTAATAACATTTTGAAGTTCAGGTTCAAACGACAGATTTATTTATTTATTTATTTATTTATTTATTTATTTATTTATTTATTTATTTATTTATTTATTTACTTGGT